AAAAAAATTTACTAACACGATATTTTTTTATTTACATTAGTTACATTCAATTTAAAGTGTCATGCATATTAAATTTGATATGCCATTTGATTTTTTGTTTTTAATTTTTTTCGTATATTATAAAAAAAATATTATTTTATTTTCAAATATTATAATCCAACGTGACAAAATTCTAGTTTTCTATATCCTTTAAACTGCTAGTAATTACCACTAACTACCAAGAAAGATTATTCATTCTTTTAAGTGACTTTGGAATCTTGTTCGAAGAAAAACTTCAGAAAAGAGGAACCCAGCCATTGGCAAATGATCGATGGCCTTGCTTAAAACGTATCGGCATCAACAAAAAACAAAGGAAGCAAATGTTCTCTCTAAGTAACTATCTCAACTTTCGCTTGCTCTGTATCCGCTGCTTTGGAAGGCTTATGGACAATCTTCGGTTCTGGTTTCTCAATTCCTTGTATATCGGTTATTCTCAACTTTGTTAATTCCTGGACATATGTGTTGAATGATCAAATACAATGAAAATCTCGGAATGACAAAGGTGCAACACATCAGGAAGTTCAAGTATACCTGTCGATGTCCTCTTGTTCTCCTATAATTCTTCCTTCGTTTCTTTTTGAAAATGAGCACTTTTTCATCCAATGCCTGTCACTCATAAGGTGTTCAACTAGTTAGACACACACAAAAAAACCGGGCTGCCAAACTATTAGTACATGAATAAATATAACATTTGAAGCAATCAGATGCTGTGACATAGACGATCTAACACCTTTTTGTCCATACAGAATTCTGCATAAAATGTAAACTCTTATAAGCAGCTGATTATGTCTAGTCCATCATTGGATTCAACAGGCAAACTCTCATCCTAGCATAAGTTTCTTGAGTGGTTACACTAGTTAGACGCAACAAAACCAGGATGACAGACTATTAGTACATGAGCGAATTCTTCTACGCCTCACACCCATTCTAAATCAAGACATTCAGATGATGTGACACCAAACAGACTATTAGTACATGTGAACACACTTATCTAACAACTTGTTCATACATTATCCCGCAAAACTTTCAAACTTATGAGCAGTTGATTTCATTTAACTTATCTAGTCCAGCACTGGATTCAACAAGAAAACTCTCATCATAGCAAAATGTTCTCAAGTGCTTACACTATCACCAATCATACTCTTTTCAATCGTCAATGTTTCTTATGCACAGGTTCACTACTCACTAGCATTATAAAACACCAAGCAAGATAATGAGACACTTACATGCTCTTCAACTACAGCATGAACAGTCGCATCTGGCAAGATAGGTCGACCGATAATCGTCTGGCTTGCTGAGCCCAATAGAAGAACCTTGGTCAAGATCAACTACAAAGGAACAGAAAGAGACAAAGGTTAAGCAACAACTATAGATCCTGCAAATGTTCCTTCTTTCTTATGAGAGAACCCAACATACCTTATCGTTTATGTCACAGAATTTCAACTTCTCAGTGAAAATGGAGTCCCCATTGCTTACTTTGAACTGATGCGAACCAATCTACGTGAGAGCAATAAACATTCAACATCAGCGCGACTGTCAAATGAAGCTTAGAGTTTTGTCGAACACCAAAGAGAGAGAGAAGAGACACGAAACCTGAACAACGGCAAAAACTGGTTCATAGTGTTTGAAGAGTCGCTCCTTAGGTTTAAGAGGACCAATCACCTTATACCCAATCTCCGCCGCTTCCTCCACTTTCTCCGCCGGTGAATATTCCCTTTCTACTTTCCACTCCGCCGAATCCTCATAATCCTCCTCTCCTTCGCTGCTTTCTTCATCTTCATCATCATCACTACCCTTCGTATTCGAAGAGAAACAACGATCTTGCGAGCGATACCAAAGACTGTACCATCGCAAATCCCTAGTGACAGATCGATTCGAAATCACAGTCCCGTGAGAAATGCTACTCCCGGAAACCTCAAACCCAGAAAACGAAGAGATCGAACGCGTCTGATTGATAGAGAGAACCGTCGTAGCGCGGCGGCTCAGCTCGCGAATGCATCGAAAGCTCGCCATTAGAGAGCACCAAGAGAGACTTAGGGTTTACACTACAGAGACTGAAAGAGGGTTTTTTCGTTATCGTCGTTTTGTTCAGTTCAAGTTTCAGAAAGACCCTCTACATGAACCAGAGGGGCATATCAATGAAATTAGCTATTAAATTATAAAATTGACATTAAGTCACATAACCATTACACCTTCAAAACAATCAATATACACATAGGCATGTTGTTTGGTAATCGAAACTACACAAATACCTGATTTTCTAGTTATAATCATCTTTCATGTTTGGTTTTTATTATATAACAAGAACAAGGGAGGACGAAAATCGAAGTCGATGAAACTCTATAACTCTCTCATAAATACATATCATAATCAGCATTGCTTGATTTCGAATCCAATGCTCAACAAAGTCCGAGCTGATTCCATCACTTTCTCACCACCAACATCTAATGCTTCGGTGCTCTTCTTCTCGCTTTCTCGTCCCACCGAGCACTGGCTTGAAGTGGGAGTGTTGACCTGATCATCTGATTTGGTTCTCATTGATGTTGGAGCCGCTGCAGCCACGAGCATTGAGCTAGGAGGACCATGGCGTTTCTTAGGCACCGGCATGTCATGGTTGTGTACTCCTTTGTATGTAATTATGACGGCTGTTGTGTTCTCTACTGCTGTCTCGATGTGTTTACGGACAGGACATCCCGCAGAGGTACATCGGTAGTAGTTCCTGAATGTTTGTAACAGAACAAGTCAATCATCATCAGTAACTGAAAATACTCATCCATGTACAAAGAGATGGGTAATAGGTTAGTTTTAGACCTTGGATTAGGATTCCCTTTCACCATTTTCTGCCCGTATTTACGCCATCTGTATCCATCACCAGAGATCCCAACATCACCAGCTGCGTGCACTACGAATTTATTTTTCTTTCCAGGTTTGGAGACAGAATCTAAACTCTGTGAGTTATCCTTTTTCAGTCTGAAACACACCCAAAAAAAAGAGGAAAGTATGTTAATTTCATCTCTCTACGTAAAGGGTGAGCACGGGAATCCAAAATTCTACAAAACTTGCCTTCGTTTTGACTCTGGTTCCTCCACAGCTTCGGTCTCACAATGTCTCTTCCGTTCAACGATTGTTAGCGACTGACAGATATTTTCTTTAGTTGAAGCAGACGGATCTGAACCGCTAGGGACTATCGCTAGCTCTTCTCCTACTGTATTTCCCTCTGAAACAGCTGGAATAGCTGGTGCAGCTCTAATCTCTCTTGGGGAGAAGCTATTCTTCCGTGGAGGTTCATGACTATGCGAACCTTTGTTAACAATCTCTATCACGTTTCCTGAATCATTGGAGCATTCAATTTTCTTAGCACAACATTCAGAATACGTGCACCTGTAGTAGCTCCGTGAGCCCTTGGGACTCTTAACCTGCTTCTGTCCATATTTTCTCCAATTGTAACCATCACGAGGCGGTGTCCTCAGAACCGGAGAAACAGACAAACTGTTAGCCACCCGAGAATCAGATCTTTGATCTTGTTTAGTTGGAACTGAAACAACTGATAGACCTTGCGCAGCTGAAGGAGTCAAAGATAGAGATGGCTCCACCATCGATGCAGTCAGACAAGGGGATGTTTCTACCACACGGTTTTCTACTGTAGCTTCATCAACTGGCACAATCGCACTTACAACATTTTCCTTACCGCTATCCGTCACCTGCCAATGTGCCACAAGAAAAAGTCAAATGTCAATGGGTGTAAGATCAAACTGATTCAGATTGATATTGGCCAAAAAGTTAAAGCACTATGATTACTGCTCTTCCCATGTACTAGTATAAATCACTAAACAGGTAATTCCCTAGTAACAAATCATACAAACTATACTTATACAGACTAGACGAAATCGAAGCAATTTTCGATAAATCCATTTGATCCCTAGTTTAAAACTCAAAGACCATAACATCCAATACTCTTGAAGTGAATTTGTATATTTCATAACTTCAATTCTTCACAATTTTCTCCAGCCTAATCAATGTCAATTAGAGAGAATATAAGAAAATTTAACAGTCCAGTGTAAAGAAGAACAGTCTCTCCAGCAAACTCACCTTAACCTCTCCTACAACATCTTCACCATTTGGTTCCACAGCGGAATTTTCTCCAACACCTTGTAAACACAAAACATCATTTCGTCAAAAACTAAACGAAGAAAATCATCGTTTAAAAGTATCGCAAATTAACCGTTACCTTCAATCTGATCCTCGGTTAGGGTTTCACGAACCGGTTCATCATGTGAATCTTCCATATTCGCATCTGTAGTTCTAAGTGATCTGAGTTGACTCAGTCCGTCATCGTCATCGTTACCAGGATCCTTCTCTGGTTCCACTTTCTCCGGTGTGCTCTGTATCTCGGCTTTGTCGCTCTCCGTCTTCTCCATGAACGAGATTCTCTTCTCCTTTCTCTCTTTGTGGGGGTTCGTCGGAGAGAGTAAAAAGAAGCGAACCAATTCTGTAGACAAACAAAAGTAGCCGCTTTCCGACCGACTGATCCGGACAAAAACGCTGTGTTTTGATCCTTAATGCTTTTTTGCTTTAAAGCAAAGGAAAATACTGTATGTATACAAAAGAATAGAAAAAGGCATATATGTCTTTGCTTAATTCTATTTGGGTAAATAGTTAACTTCGTTTGGAAACGAGTATTTTGGATATTATTTTAAGTACTATAAAATACGAAACGGAAATTTTGAAAATTTATAAATTTTAAAAGTTAAAAATTACTATTCAAATTCAACATGTATGTTTCTGCTTAATTTTATTTGGCAAGTACGAGTGTTTTGGACATTATTTGAAGTATTTTCTACGAAGTACGAAACGAAAATTTGGAAGCTTCGTATAGTTAAAATTACTATTCAACTCTCATTAATTTAGGTAAAATTTGACTTTAAAACGGATAATTTGGATTGTTTATTTATATCTGATTCGTTCTTTTATCCGTTTGACTAAATTATATATTTTTTGATAAATAGTTTTTTGAACATAGATAAGTTTGGGATGAGAAATTTGGATGGAAAATGGGATGCCGTCACTAAGACCATCTTAATTTGTGTAATTTGACGCCATGAAACTTTTTTTATATGAGACTAATAGATGTTTATTGTTGTATGATTATATTCGGATGCATCTCGTATGCACCTGAGGGAATTTATCTGTTGTTTGCTTAGGCATGTGATTTGGTGGTTAATAACATGTTCTAGTCAGCATGACCACGTTTTAAGAATAATATTTGATCAACGTTTTACGATCGTCAAATATCATGCACAATATTTTTGAATTTAATCTAATGAATTGTCTGTTTAATCTCTAAATTGTTCCCAAAAAAATTACAATTAGCTTGGTTCAGTAAAATAGATACTTTTTTAAGAAAAGAAAAAAAAAACTAGAATACAAATGTAGAGATTGTTTTCCATTCTTTCGGAAAAGTTGTAGGAAAGGGGGGAAATATCATGTAACCATGTGAAATCATTCAGTATGAAAATAAATATTTCAAATGAAAAGAGAAGTATCTTCC